AAAGAAATCCAACTACTTATGAGCCTTAGGTGTTAACTACCTTGGTCCATTGAGGACAGAATCATTCTCAAGGGTGAGGCACAGATTACTGAGATCTGAGTTGGAAATGCTGAGAGATGGACCCAATCAATGTAAACCAATGTGGCGAGTTACAGCCTGTATTGGAAGCCCATTTCTAATATCAGAAATAACCTGCTTCATAACCATACGTACATACTCACAAGCAGAAGTATCAGACTCAGCATCTTTAGTGGCTGAGTGGGTGAGCACCCATGAATGACACATCTCTGTGCCTCCTGGGTAATAAGCAATTGCAAAGTGGGAGAATAACCGTGTACCCACTGGCCCTGAATACGTTTTCTCAGAGGTAGCATTTCATGAACTAAAAACGGAAGTTCACATCACCCTATATAAAACTGTACCAGCCCAAGCCTTTGAATACCCTTCGTTGGAACAGGCACATCACCATAGGTTCTAAGAAAAGGCCTGAGAGTTGATTGTCCAGATTGAGTTCCTGGTAGATGATCTTGGGAATCAAGACTAGAAACTAGAGAAGGCTTTCTCCACCTGACTTGACTGAGGGCTCTCAGGGTATCTGAGCTCCTTTACATAAAGTTCTGCTCAGTTTCCCAGTGCAAATTCACCAATTGACACAACTCTTTAATGCAAAATTTACTCATCTTTGTCCTGGCTCAAAACCTGATCCCCGTTAGGTGTGCAGCTCATCTCCGCATATCCCATACAGGGGATAGTTCCTTGTTCCCTGAATTCAACTGCTTGTCGGTGAGCCTCTAGATGCTCTTCATGAGGAATGGAGTCAGGCAGGTATAGGAAATGCCTTTACCTTCACTGTCAGGGAATCCTCCAGACAACCATGAAAACCTGATGTGCTACTTGTAAGGTTCACTTGAGCAAACTCCCTTTCTACCTGGGAATTCAAATCCCGTCCCCTTACCCCAGAATTTAATCTGTAGGAACTCTGGGTGAGAGAGATGGTAACCACATCAGAGCATGGAATATCAAAGGCGGCGCTCCCTGCCATGGCTGGTTGCAGTGAATCTACTGACTGGAGCTCTGAAACTTTACATTGGGGGGAAAGCTACAGCTGAGAATGCCATCCTGGTTTAACTGGACCTGGGACTGGCCCCCTTGCTGGTTTCCTGAGATCGAGTTATCTATACCATCAAACCTGGCTTGGCAGTACCTGGCCAAATGGTTCCTCTCTTATACTGCAGGCAGGGCGGTCCTTTCAAAGCATTGAAACATTTATCCTGAGCTTGTCTCTGTACAGCATAGGCCTCAACAGCATTGATATGTGCCTGATGTTTGGTAGAACTGACATTCAGACACTCCTTCAAATACCTCATTATGTCCTCCTTCTACTTAAAGGGCGCAGAACAGCCTGGCAATCCTCATTAGCATTATCAAAGGCCAAATGTTTCCACAAAATGTGCTGCATCACTTTACACTTAACCTGCCTCTCAATAGCCTAGGTCAGTCTTCCTATAAAATGTGCATATGTTTCCAAGGCATCCTGAACAATCTTTTTATAGCTTCCCTTAAATTCACATCTGCATCAGTCTTCTCTCAGGCCTACAGGACGGCCCCGCAGACATGAGCAAAACCAGCACGAGACAAGATGACTTGCTTTTTTGGGTCGTGCCATTTCCATGCATCTCCTATCCTGGGAGGATCCTCCCAACACCCTTTACTTGGTGCTCCCTTCTCTATCTGAGCTGCCTTTTCCCTTAGCCTGTGTGGCTGGCCTCAAAAACAATGGAGTGAACCTCCTGGTACTTATTTTGGCTATTCTTGGGTCTATTAACATTTCTTAAGTCAACTTGATACCTGAAAATTTTTGCCCATAATGACCTAGTTCATCATGTTTTGCCTTGGCTTCATCACTGAACCACATCCTCTATTGCATGTACTGAGAAGGGCTTAAGCATGTCTTAGCAGCCATATGAAAATCTTGGGGTACCCAACAAGCACCTTTACTCCAGCTATAAGATACTCCTTGCACTATGGAGATGTGGGTTTGTATGAAGCACAGGCCTTTCTGAAATGGCTGAGAGAATGCATTCTTAATTCTTCATAAGATGGGGGCTGATCTTCCTCCAGTTGGATGGGGAAAACAAGAGGGAGCTCATGTGGTCTAGGTGGATTTGACTGCTTACGGTCAAGAGGTCTCAGCTGTAAGCTTTTATCTGGAGCTGATCCCGAGAAGCCTGGAAGCTGTTTGGCTGCAAAGTGGCAGCCTCTGTAAGAAGCCTTCTCTACCAACCTGCTCTCAGACTCCGAGTCTGAGGAACTGGCAGCAGGCTCATCATTCACATCACTTTCATCTGATGTACTGGAAATGGAGTCATACAGAGGAGATGGATGTCTCTCTGGTTTGATGCCAGTAGTAGGGAATGACTGTTAAGTCAACAGCATCAGAAGAATCCCTGTCCTGATAGCACAGTTTCACTGGGAAAGTGCTTACCTTCTTTTGATCTTTGGGTAAGGGAGGAGCTGAGGGAGTAGCTTCTCAGCAGGGGGAACTTTCTTTGTCTCCTTGATCCTCTTAAAAGTCTGTTTGCTAAATTCCTGTTCCTGAGAAAATTCTCCTTTTTTTATCCTTAATATTCTCTTTCTTCTCAACTATACTTTCCAAGACTGGAGGATGGAATTAATTATATCCCATGTAATCCAGAATTCTGAGGGGCTCCGAGTTCCCTCCTTGTACACATTGTTCCTAACTTTTCTCCAAACTCTGACTTCTAGAGATCCTAGAACCAGGTCTGGGAACAAGGGGTATATATTTTTAAACAATTTTAGAGCGGGCACAGAGTTGGTCTGGGAGAGGTATTCTGCTCTGTGGGAGAGATGCTGAATCAAATCCATAAATGGCTCAGCCCTTTCAGTATGGCTTGAGATACACTGGAACAGCCTGGGCTGGCCTTATTTCTGTCTTATCTTAGTGAGGGGGTATGGCTGCTATTCTAACTCCCCAATACCCCAAAAACCTGAAAACCTGCTATCCCACTCTCCTCTATGTAGAGGGATACAGCTAGGATCCTGCATATTCCCAGTATCTCGAAAACAAGTTCTCCTACTCACTTCTCTGAATGTGTGTCCACCGAACGCACCAGTTGGTGGTTCCTGCCCAAGCAAGGGATGCCAGATGTGACCTCACACTTGAAAAGTAGACTCTTTGCCAATAGGCCATCCTCAGCCACCTCCCTCAATAAGTATGTGAAAGGGTTCTAAGACCCTTAGATTTTGTTACTATTGATCTTCTCTATAATTTATAAAGATTGCATGTTAAGCACCAGCCAAAGTGTTCCCTCACACTGGGCACATAGCAAATTTGATTCAGGAGAATAAATAAAATGAAATGTTGTATAGACCTCACTCTCAGGCCATACTTATTCAGAAATGATCTGGAATCTCTAATCAGTGCCAGTCTATCTAGTCTTAGAAACTTTTCAGTCTTGTGGCAGGTACTTCAAGATAGTCTCTGTCAACAAGCAAAATGTCCAATAACAGATAAAGAAACTCTGGTATATATATACGCAGTGGAACAGTATGTCCCTTAAAATGATGAAATTATAAAATTTATGGCAGTGTGGATGAAGCTAGAGGTTATCATGTTAAGCAAAATAAATAAGAGGCAGAAGTACTGTATGAACCTATGGAATCACTTGTATCACTTGCCATTTCATTGCTCATCGATTTGCTTGAGCGGGTGCCAGTAACATCTCCATTCATCTCTGTTGTGTGCTAGTGTAGCCCAATGGCATCTGCTTGCTCTAGTAACATGAAGAGCATCAAACTGTTCATTCAGGGTCTTGACAAAGAAGTCCGACCATCTCGTATGTGGGCAGCCAGGCATTCTTTTGACATCCCATGGAATATATGAAATATAGACAGCAAACACGAGAATGGTATCTCACAATGACAACCCCTTGGCTTGGATTAAAAAGCTTATTAAGAAGCACTGAGAAGAAAACAAGGAGAAAATCAAGCTGGAAGTGACATCAGAACACTGGTGGCACATTGGTGATACTGGGGTGCAGTGATTGTGTACATCAATACCATGAGCTTTAACACCATTCTAACAACCTAAAAGATTAATAATAGAGAGGTAGTTTCAGGATGAAGAGAAAGTACAGCAGATAAGTTGCTTGCATTGGTGGGTCAATCCCAGAATCATAAATGGTCCTCTAAGCCTCAATAGTATTGATCCCTGAGTATACAGCCAGGAGTAAGCCCTGAGTACAGTTGGGTGTGACCAAAAGACAATTAAAAAAGGTAGTCTCTTGTAACCCTACCATAGGTATCAATTTGTTCTTTAATACCATTTTACATTATCTGTTTGTTCTTTGGGGACTTTTTCCCTTCAGGTATCCAACCTGAGTCTTATTATTTCATAGCTATTATATCACAATCTGAGTTTATATTGCCCCAAAGTGAAGTCATATTACACTTGACATTACAACAAAATTCTTACTAAAACTGTTCTTTCCAACACCCCACTGTGACTCACCCCACTGTTTCTACCAGAATTGGTAAAGAATCTTTTGGAGTTTCTTGTAGCAGGACACATGATTTGAAACACCTAACCAAATTAGTCTATCATTATTTATATATTTAGCTGATACTTTCATTGATGGGCTGGAGAGATAGCACAGCGGTAGGGCATTTGCCTTGCACGCAGCCAACATGGCTGACCCGAGTTCGATTCCTCTGCCCCTCTCGGAGAGCCAGGCAAGCTACTGAGAGTATCTTGCCCGCACAGCAGAGCCTGGCAAGCTCCCCGTGACGTATTCGATATGCCAAACACAGTAACAACAAGTCTCATGATGGAGGCGTTACTGGGCCCACTCGAGCAAATCGATGAACAACGGGAGGACCGTGACCGTGACTTTCATTGATAAAACTAAAGTTTCTCTTTTAAGAGTATGTCTCTGCTTCTTGATGTTGAATCAACTGACAATATTTCTATCTCTTTGAAGGAGTGCTCAGATTGCTGACCTACAGCAGAAGCTGTTGGATGCAGAAAGTGAAGATAGACCAAAACACCGCTGGGAGAATATTGCTACCATTCCAGAGGCTAAATGTGCCCTGAAATATTTAATTGGAGAGGTAATCATCACTCTAACTACCAGCAATTCAAGGTTTAACTCAAAGGTTGAAATAATATGAAATATTGTACTAGTTATTGCCAATTTTCATGAAAAAAAAAACATGGTTCCATTATTATTAGAATTTAATGGAACCAGAGAGATAGTCTAACAGACTGAGCACAGCTTTGCATTTAGGAGTCCCAGGTTTAATACCCAGCCCCAAATCATCCCCCGAACACCCTCTGAGCATAGAGCCTGTAGTAGCTCCTAAATCACCAAATGTGACCAAAAAGAAAAGAAAACAAAAAGAAAATAATGGGTATAATCAAGAATTGGCCAGTCACTTACAAAAATATATAGCTACAGTGTTGGTGGGAAGAGTAGAGGGAGCAAAAAAAATGTAATTTCAAATTGATAGCTGCAATGCTTGAACTATTGCAAGTACTCAAATGTTGCTCTCAGTGTTTATTGGAAAAGGTCAGGCTATCATAGAAGGCCACTGGTTAAACTACTACTTTGCCGCGCCACCAAGCCTGCCCGGAGGGGAAAGGGTGTTGTCCCGCTCACCCGCTCCTCTCTGGAAAGAAAGATGGCGGCCGCACGGGAGCCTTGTGGACAGCAGGTTTGAGCCGGGGGCGGGGGGCAGCAGGGGCCTCATGGGAAGGGGGGCGTTCTGGGCCGTCCTTCACGCCCGACCGAGGTCACCAGCTGCCCCCCACGAGCGGCTCTCCGGCACAGCCACGACTCCAGAGCACAGAAACCAATCTCTTAACTATCTAACTTTTAATAGAAATACTTCCAGGGTTAATAAGTGAAACAGCAGAAATCCAAAACCGCGCGGCCGCATCATTTTATTCTTAAACCAAGCTATAGAAAGCAAATCATTTCACAACACTGTTTCAGCATATCTGATTGGGGGGGGTCGTAAACTCTAAACAATAATTGTGCATCTTCTATCGAAACAATGTATCTAGTCAAAGTAGATAGAGTATTAACTAGAACTCATCTGCCTCACAGGAATTGGGAGGGGTGGGAGTTGGGGTTCTATTGGGGTTCACGGTTAAAAATAAGTATTGGTAAAGGGAAATGTGTTTGATACTTACATGACTGAGACCTAAACCCGAAAGCTCTGTAACTTTTCCCACAGTGATTCAATAAAGAAATAAACTATTAAAAAAATAAATAAATAAAAAATAAAAAAAAATAAACTACTACTTTGTAGTATCAAAACAACTACAAGGTCCAAAGAGATAGTAGAATGGGTAGGGTGCTTGCTTTGCATGCAGCCAATAAAAAATAAAATACCTACAAGATATATATTCGAAAAGTTTCAGATACAATCTAGGAAAAAGAAAGCATAATAATCTTTTGACTTATAAAGATTCATTTTAAGGAAAATCCATCTCCACTGGCCTTTAAATATGTATTATCATAAGAGGAATTAAAGCTGGGGGCCAGAGCAATCACACAGTGGGTAAGGACTCAGTCCCTGGCACCCAATATGATCCCCGGAGCAAGGTCAGGATTAGCCCCAAAACAAAAAAAAATGTAAAAGCTGATCACTTCTGAAGCTTGAGATACTTTCACTTGAGTCAAGCAAACAGACTTCAACTATGTAAGCTGAAACAGTGCAATCCATTATATATATATGTATATATATATATATATATATATATATATATATATATATGCCTAGCTCTGTATTTGGGCATCATTCCTGGTGGTACCTCCACCTATACTATCTCTCTAGCCCTAGCCCTGATACATTTCTTGGAGTACACCTGGTTGTGTGCATGTGTGCTCAAATTTTATACCTGATTCTGTGCTCGAACATTACTCCTGACAGGTTCAGAAAATCATATGGGTGCAAAGGATCAGACCCAGTTCAGCTACTTGCAAGGCAAGCACCTTCCCTGCTGTACTATCTCTCTGGCCCCTGCTTTTTAAAGAATTTTTATTAGTGAGACATCATGAGATACAGTTGTCACGGTCACGGTCCTCCCGTTGTTCATCGATTTTCTCGAGTGGGCCCAGTAACGTCTCCATTATGAGATTTGTTACTGTGTTTGGCATATCAAATAAATCACGGGTAGCTTGCCAGGCTTTGCCATGTGGGCGAGATACTCTCAGTAGCTTGCCAGGCTCTCCAAGAGGGGCGGAGGAATTGAACTCAGGTCAGCCATGTTGGCTGCGTGCAAGGCAAACGTCCTACCCACTGTGCTATCGCTCCAGCATGGTGTTAGATAGTTTTCTTTTGCATACGGATAATCAATTTTCCCAATACACATTTTTAAAAAATTTTTATTAGTGAGACACCATGAGGCACAGTTGTAGACTTACAAATTTTTGTGCTTGGGTTTCAGTTATACAATGATGAAATGCCCATCCCTCCACCAGTGCTCATTTCCCACCACCACGGATCCCAGTATCCCTCCCACCCCCCATTCCCCCCATCTCACCCTGCCTCTGTGACAGGGCATTCCCTTTTGTTCTCTCTCTCTTATAGGGTGTTGTGGTTTGCAAAAGAGGCAATGGGTGACGATCATGTTTGGTCTATAGTCTACTTTCAGCATGCTTCTCCCATCCTGGGAGGATCCTCCCAACACCCTTTATTTGGTCTGGCCCCTACTTTATATATCTTTGTATTCTGTTAGCAGATTTGTTCTACTGAGGAAATCCTGACTAATCTCAGGAACACTGGTGTTTATTTTTATGGTATTATAATTTAGATCTGAACTAGTAGTGAATATAAAACCAGACCAGGATAAAATATGACTCTAGCCTGAAGAGCCAGATCTGCAATTTCAACTCAATCTCATTCTATGAGTTCTGACTGTATACACAGATCCTCAGGTGAGACATGAGTAGCCATAAGGGTGTATCCTATTTTTATTATTATTTTTTATTATCATTTTTATGAAGATGGGAGGTCTGGGTGGAGAAGGCCCAGTCCCAAACCGAGCAGGCTTGGAGATCTCAGCCCCTGGACCCGCATGCCTGGGTTCCTCTGCCAGTTCTTTCATGCATGAGGCTTGTCCGGACGTGTGGAGAGTGGTCCCAGCATGGCCGTGGCTGGCTCCAGAGGTCCTCTGCTGCTGGGGCTCTGCTGGGGGGGCGGGAAACTCAACCCGCCCCCCTCCAAGGGGCCCCGGTGAGGATAGCCAGGAGCTGGGGGCAGGAGACTCTGCACTGTTATCTTTCGGGAGCAGGGTTTTATAGTCTCTGTGTCTTGGCCGTTGATGGGACCAACCTGGCGCTGGCGCTGGCACTGGCAGCAGCTGGTGGGTGTGACACCTACCTACTGGAAGATGGGGGTTCTGGGTAGAGAAGGTCCAGTCCCAATCCGAGCAGGCTTGGAGATCTCAGCCCCGGGACCCACATGCCTGGGTTCCTCTGCCAGTTCTTTCATGCATGAGGCTTGTCTGGACGTGTGGAGACTATACGAGGCAGAGACTATAAAACCCAGCTCCTGGAAGTGCACGGCCGCTTTTGCGGCTGCGCGACATCTTATTATTTCATTTTTCCTTTGGAGAACCTGGCAGGCTACCAAAAGTATCCTGCCTGCATGGCAGACTCTGGTAAACTTTCCTTGTCTTCCTCAATATGCCAAATACCAGTAACAATGATAGGTCTCATTCTCCTAACCCTGAAAGAGCATTGAAATGGCTCTTTTAAAATCTCAGGGCTAGGAAGAAGGAGACGTTACTGGTGCCTGCTCGAGGCAATCAACGAACAACAGGATGATTGTGATTATTTTTATTATTATTTTTATTATTATTATATCTTTTATTATTATTTGGGGGAGCACAACTAGCGATTCTCAGAGATTACTCCTGGGTCCGCACTTAGAAATTACTTCGGGGCTGGAGAGATAGCACAGTGGGTAGGGTGTTTGCTATGCACGTGGCCGACCCGGGTTAGATTTCCGCATCCCATACGGTCCCCCGAGCACCACCAGGAGTAATTCCTGTGCATCTCTGGGTATGACCCCCCCAAAAAAAAGTAAAAAAAAGAAATTACTTCTGTTGGTGCTCTAGGGACCATGTGGGATGCCGGCACTTGAATGCAGGTTAACCACGTGCAAGGCAAATGCCATACCTGCAGTACTATCACTTCAGCCCCTATCCTGTTTTCTTTTAAAGTAAGGAAGAACTGAGGCTGAAGAGATAATTAAAAAGTGAAGGCACTTACCTTGTATACAGCTAACCCCACTTTGATCCCTGGCACCATCTGGTTTCCTAGACACTGCCAAAAGCCACTCTTAGGGCACAGAGCCACCAAGCACTTTCAGGTGTGGCTAAGACACCCCCTTCTTAAATAAACTTATGAAGAACTTCTTGAGTATTAGAATTTTGAATTAGACTGTTGGTGTTAGGTTTATTCTGCCTTGAACCACAGCAAGAGCGTAAATTACCTTATCACAGTGGTTTCTCGACAGAAATACAGGCTCTTTGCCTAGGTAGTGTTGTTAATTCAACATATGGTATAAACCATATGACATGAAAAAATAAGAATGGACTTGGACGAACTTTTCTCAGTTTCAGAAAAGCTAATGTTTTCCTGCCTAGTGAATGGGGTGAGGTGGCTATTCTCCAAATAAACTGATCTTCTTTTATACCTTCCAGCTGGTCTCCTCCAAAGTACAGGTCAGCAAGCTTGAAAGCAGCTTGAAACAAAACAAGGCCAGCTGTGCTGACATGCAAAAGATGCTGTTTGAAGAACGAAATCATTTTGCTGAAATAGAGACAGAATTACAGGCAGAGCTGGTCAAAGTGGAGCAACAACACCAAGAAAAGGTAAAAAAAAAAAAAACCCTTCAGGTCAAGAAGCTGTCCTGAGGAGCCAGTGATAAAACAGTGGATAGGGCGTTTGCCTTGCCTGTGGCTAAGCCAGGTTCGATCCCTGGCATCCCATGTGGTCGGTTCCCCAGCACTGCCAGGAGTTATTCCTGAGTGCAGAGCCAGGAGTAACCCCGGAGCATTGCTAGGTGTTACCCCCGCCCCCGCTCTTCCCCCCCCCCCCCCCCCCCCCCGCCACCTGAGAAAACAATTGCTTTTTATTGCTAACTTGAAAAACTTGTGGGGGGCACTGCACTGCACTGTCCTTCCGTTGTTCATCATTTTCCTTGAGCAGGCCCAGTAACGTCTCCATCATGAGACTTGTTACTGTGTTTGGCATATTGAATACGTCACGGGTAGCTTGCCAGGCTTTGTCATGCAGGCCAGATACTCTCATTAGCTTGCCCGGCTCTCCAAGAGGGGCGGAGGAATCAAACTTGGCTCAGCCAGGCCGGCTGCACACAAGGCAAACACCCTACCACTGTGCTATGGTTTCAGCCCTTGTGGGGGGCATGAAATTTTTTTTCAAAATAACAAGTTGTTTTGTCCAAAGTTTACAAATAAGATATCTGAAACAGGAAGAAATAACTTGGCTGAATTGATAAGTGCATATGAAAGGGGCTTTTAGCTTTGAATAATCATATCAAAATTTACATGCTAATAAGCATTGTGGCTGCAGTTAGCATGGTTTATTTCTGTATCGCAGAGAAGTTACTTGCATTACAGACTGAACTAAACCAGAATGATTTGTTTCCTCATTGATTCCTTTGGTCGCATCTTTTTCTAGGTGCTGTACCTCCTTGGTCAGTTACAGCAAAGCCAAATGACAGAAAAGCAGTTAGAGGAGTCCATCAGTGAAAAGGAACAAAAGCTACTAAGCACACTGAAGTATCAGGTAAGATAATGAAGCAGAGGTCTCCAGAGAAGTGTTCTGCAGGTCTGACTGAGACTTATTTTAACTTCTGAAGAAAGAAATGTCTCTCATGATAAAGACCTCTACTGACTTTTTGCCTTTATTGTTTTTGTTTGTTTGGTTGGTTTTGGTGTTTTGGGCCACACCCAGCCAGTGCTCAGGGCTTACTCCTATCTCTTCATTCAGGATAACTCCTGGAAATGCTCTGGGGACCATATGAACTGTCAAGAGATCAAACCCAGGTGGGGCTGGAGTGATAGTACACCATGTAGAGCATTTGTCTTGCACATGGCTTGCCTGGATTCAGTCCCCGACATCGCATGTGATTCCCTGAGCACCACCAGGAGTAATTTCTGAGTGCGGAGCTAGGAGTAATCCCTAAGCATTGCCCCTAGTGTGACCTAAAAAGCCAAAAACTAAAAACAAAACAATCCAACATGGGTCTGCTGTGCCCACTCTACTATCTCGCCAGCCCCCATTCTATACTTTGAAGCCTCTTGGTTCTTTGCCTTAACTATGAAGCTCAAGCTCTAGAGTTGAGTAAGTAAAATCAGAGGGATATTCAGCTGTCTCTTCCTTAGCCTGTTTCTCTGATGCTTATACAATGCCAGAATCTACATTTTTACAGAGGCTGGGAATTTCACACACTTGAGTATCATGTGGAACACTGTTTTATTCTACTTTTAATCTTTTTTTCCTGAACCACCAGTCTATTTTCTTTAGGGTTTCCACCTCCTAGCAAAGATAAAACCAAACTAAGGTTGTATGCATGAATCCAGATGTCTTTAGTGCCAAGAAGTTTAAGCATATTAGTGTAGCAAATAAACTGCCTGGTCTTGAAAAGAGTTAACAGAAGTATCTATAGACTTCAAAGAAACAGAATTTCTCTGTGTGGATATCTTAGTCAGCTTCCTAAGGTGAATAAGACTTGTAAGGGTAGAAAATAGAGAAATAAAGCCGGTGTATAGAGTAGAGGCCATGATCCCAAATGCTGTCAGGAATGCTTGGAGTGTTGGAACAGAAGTGGCATTCTGGACACCTAGGAAGTGGTAGAAATATGGCATTCTTCTGGGTGCCAGTGCCTGCTGTGCAGAAACCATCTGCTGTCAGCAACTTGGCAGCACTGTGTTTTCATCTATGTGAGTTATTTTGTAGCCCACGTGTAGTGCCCAAAATAACCCCACCTATCACTGCTACTATCTGGAAATAGGATGAAGAACTTGAGAAGATGCGAGAAGTATGTGCACAAAATCAACAGCTTCTCCGAGAAAATGAAGTCATCAAGCAGGTAATGAATCTCCCTACCTATTTAATAAGCCTGGGAAGACCCTGTTACCACAGAGGCCAGCTATTGGAAGCATTACTGAGTATGATGATTTCGCTCTATTTTATAAAGTTTGTATTAAGTTTCCATATTTATATTTGTTTAAAGTGCAATGAATACATTTTTTGGGGGGAGGGGGTAGAACACTCTGGATGGTATTCACAGTACCACATGATGGCAGGGATTGAACCTGGGCTTCCGGTATATAAAGCTTGCACTTCAGCCCTTTGAATCATGTCTCTCCTCCCTAAACACATTTTTAAAATTTGCTGTTTTCTTAAATCTAATACAGGTCTTATAAATTGAATCCTCCAATCTACTAATACCTGCCTCACTTTACTATGGTTTTTAGTTTGCTAGGTTTAATATTGAGTTACCTTAGATTTGGAATATTTATGTTTTTGTCATTAACACTCTTTAGAAACTGCCCTGCATGATAAACTTTTTTCTCTTCTTTCAAATAGAAACTGACCCTCCTCCAAGTAGCCAGCAAACAGAAACCTCATCTTTCTCAGGATCTCCTTTTATCTCCAGATTCTTCTTTTGAATATATACCACCTAAGGTAAATTGCTTATTTTCTGTGTTATCTGGCATAACCCATATTTAAGATGAGTATGCTAAAATCCTTTCTGTTTGGTTTGGTTTGGTTTTTCTTTTAGTTTTTTATTTGGAGGGGGTTGTTTGTTTCATTTAGTTTGATATGGTTTTGGTTTTTGTTTTGTTTGGGGGGCACTTACCAACTGCCCTTACTCTTGACTCTGTGCTCAGACAATCATTTCTGTCAGTGCCCTGGGGACTTTATACAATGTCAGGTGCAAGGCAAGCTCCTTACACATTGTACTATCTCTCATGCCTTAAAATTCCCTTTTTTAAGAGGTTGGGAGTTAAATTTACCAAATTCCAATGTTTGATTTTCAATGGCATCCCAGATAAGATTATAGTATAATCTTAATGTAAGTAGGCATTCTCCCTTCCCCAGAGATTGAGTTTTAGCCATGTGCAGGCCTTATGTAACTGAGTAGGAGGAGGAAGGGGAGAAAGAGAGTAGGAAAATGGAGCAGTGTTCAGCTGTCCATCCAAAGAATCTTATGACATTATGAGTCCACCTTTCCTCCCTCAGATGTCTCAAGATACTGTCCCTTCAGTCTGTCTTTTCAAAGACTCTGTGAGACCAAAGGCTAAAGCAAATTTTCCAAGTGGGGTATATCTGAGGGAGTCTAAAGTCTTTGATCTGATAGTTTAGTTGACAGCAGTTACAAGAAAGATAAAATCCATTTCCTGTTTTTATTTTTATTAAATAACCATTCCAAACCTTTTTTTCTTAGCCAAAACCATCTCGTGTTAAAGAAAAATTTCTGGAGCAAAGCATGGACATTGAGGATCTAAAATATCATTCAGAGCATTCTGTGAATGAGCCTGAGGACAGTGATGGTGATACTGATGATGGGAATGATGAAGAATGGAAACCAACAAAATTAGTTAAGGTGTCCAAGAAGAACGTCCAAGGGGTATGAGGCAGTTTTCATCTCTGTCAGGGGTTCCAATCCTTATTCATCACTGATCATGGGAATGTGCAAGCCCTATATATGAGCCTCTGGATCTCATTCAGAGACATAGGCTCCACTGAGGTAGATTCATTGAGTCAGTTCTGTACAGAAGTTGAAACTAAATAGAAATGGCTGCCTGAGTACACAAAGGGGGTGTTCCTTGTGGTTTTACATTTTTACCAATCTAAATAGGTTATCTACTATTTTATTGAAGATGTTTCAAAGGTGATCCTTCACATTTTCATAGACCTTTGTAATGTCCAAACCATCCTCGTGTATGTTGTTTTTGTAATCACAAAAGGTACCATGAGGTATTTATTTGCACTTTACAGATGCATCTGATCCCCACGGGGGAGATATGACCTTGCCAGCTGGATATTCTGGCTTAATTGGTCTTAGGTGGGTTTTTTGAAAAGCTCCCCAGAGATTTCTTATGATCGGGCAGGACTGAGAACTACCAGATTATCAGAACCCCTAAAGTCTTTTCAGCTCTACTTCCCACTTTAAATAATCCCTCTATCACAGTAGTTTTTAACAATGCTGTTGGGACATGCTGGTGTGTTGCCAGCAGTTAAACACTTACAAACATACATTTGGATGAATATACCTATTATGTGTGTCATTATTCTATAATAGCAGTACCAGGTGTTTGTCTAGCCTCTGCTTACTTGTAAATTTCTAATAGGACAAAGCACAGAATTTCACAGTTTAGCACACTGTATTCCACTAATAGCTAAAAAGTTGTTCCTTGTTGAGTTAATATGTGCCATTCTATGAATCATTGCAATGGGTCTTAGCTATATAAAAGTCTAATTGTCCCCCCTTTTCACAGACTTTCAGGTATACTTTCATATTCTTTAGATAAAAATATAGACAAATTAATAGGGTAATATAAAAATTTCTGAGGTATTTAGATGAATTTGTAAATGTGAAAAGGACAATAACCAGCCTATAGCTCTCAATAGATCAGTGTCGTTATGCTGAGGAATCTCTAGGACATATCATAGAACTCCAGGTAGTTTGGGGCACATTGGTGGTGGAAGAGGTACATAATTTTCTTCATAGAAATCAAACATTTACACGATTGTAAATAAAGTATGATCAATTCTTGGGACCTCATAGTCTGCTCCCCTCCCCGTGCTCTCGAGCCTCTGGGAACATTCCTTGAACTGGGAGTGACCCACTGAACATCACCAGCCCAAGAAGCATCACATCCACAGCCATGCACCAAACTATCAGGCTCACACATTGGGTTGGGTATTTTCAGAGTGTCCTCTCGGCCTCTGACCACCACTGGGGAAGCACCTATTGAAAAAAACACAGTCCCAGGCACCAGAGCAATAGTACAGTGAGTAGAGTACTTGCCTTACACGCTGAGTTCCATCTCAGCATCCCATATGGTCCCCCCAAGCCTGCCAGAAGTGATCCCTGAGCACAGGGCCAGGAGTAAGCCCTGAGCACTGCTGGGTGTGCCCCCAAAATAAAACAACAGAAAACATAATCCCAGTATCTAACATATGGTTCAATAAATTGATATCTACCCATGATAAAATACTATATTTTACCATGATAAAATACCATATTTTATAATACCCATGATAAAATACTATATTTTATATTATTCTTATAATTGGAAAAAGTTACAATTACTTCTTTTATATTCACAGCTAAAGGAAGAGGGTGATTTTCACTTGAGGCTTATAGGCCAGGCCTCATTAATGGTACTGATATGTCCATTAAAATGGAAGTATTTGTCTCCATCTTCTTCACAATAAATCATGCTACATCTGGAAAGTTACGCTCATTTTAAAATGTCACAAAGATGAACTTGGACAAATTGATGTGTTGTCAAGGTGGTGAGGATTCTTGGAAACTATGTCCTATGATGAATCATTGAGAGCTAGATATATTTAGCTTGGGACAATTAGAACAGAGGGGCATAGGAAGTGAAAATTATGATGAGGATTTGAACAATTATGTTTAAAAGAAGGTTAAATGCTTGTATGTCATTCTAGATAGCACAATTAGATCCTGTGGTCAGAATTTATATAGAGAGCTGCTTTATATGCATAGTGCCTCCCTTCCCAAAAATGGTTATATGGAAACTATTATTGTTCCAGGATAAACAGATCATTAGTAGAGATGGAGAGAAGGGCTTCATATAAAAATTCAGGCTTTTGGGGCTGGAGCAATAGCACAGCAATAGCGTGTAGGGCGTTTCCCTTGCGTGCGACCCACCCGGGTTTGATTCCCAGCATGCCATATGGTCCCTCAAGCACCGCCAGGAGTAATTCCTGAGTGCAGAGCCAGGAGGAATCCCTGAGCATCGCCAGGTGTGACCCAAAAAGAAAAAAATAATTTCAGGTTTTAAATGGTTGCTAAGGTGTCTTCTGATTTAAGTTCTTTACAAGACAAACTGCCCTGCCTTCTTCCACCATTTCTCTTAGAACATCAGTTCCTACAGTGATGGTCACCTGCTTCTACTTAATATCTTCTTTTGTGAACACAGAGGCACAATGAACTCCTGGGTGTGTGAAACCAAAACTATGGTTATCGAATAGGTGTTCTTAATACATGGAAAGCACTCATAACAGTGCCTGGCACACATTAATGTTAGCTATTGCTATCGCAGCCTTTTTGGTAAGTGTGGAATGTGGCACTGTAGAATGTATGAATTACCTGTCATGATCATAGAGTAAAAATTAATGGAACTGGAATCTACAAGATACCACTTATGTAAAGTTTATAATCATGGAAAATGATTTTTTTTCATTAAAAATAGTAATAAAAGACATACATGGAAGAATAGTAGATACCCAGTTGGGTGTTTACCAATTGGAGGGGGTGTTAGGCCACACCCAGTGCTGCTCAGGAGCTGCTCTTAGCTCTGTGCTTAGGGATCACTCCTGGCAGTTCTTGGGGGACGGCATGTGGTACCAGCCACATGCAAGGTAAACCTCTTATCCCCTGTACTATCTCTCTAGCTCCTATAACTACTGAATTTAAGAGATGTTGTCCCAAAGAGAAATAGGGTCAGGAAAGGGTACACAGGAAATGTCATTCATATCTGTATTTTCCTTATTAAGTTGGATTTGGAACGTAATAGATTTTTTAAATTATTGTATAAATATAAATATACCTGGTAAAAATACTACATGCCTGCCTTAAAATAGTATATATTGTTTCATATGGGGTCTGATTAATCCAGGGTAAAATGAAATAGTTTTTCCCCTTGATATCTGAACTCCAAATTTTGCCTGACCACACATAAGCTAGCTCTTGGAAAGAACCAAAATGCCAAACTTATAGTTATCCTGTTGTAACTTTGCTTTCTACTTGTAGGACATAATTTATTCCATTGTAATATGTTTGGGTTTTTTTATGTAGGAGTATTACTATTTATTCAGCCATTGATTAGGCTCATTGAATTGGGCATGAACTCCACTGTAATATGTTTGAATTGTGATTCTTCTATCTTACATATTAATCATCCCTTCCAGTTTTCATTGTTACAGCTGATAAATGTCTCCCTAGTAGACCAGTTATGAGATTTTGTATTTTTTATTTTGTATTTTATATATATGGAAATACTCTGAAAACTTAAGGTGATATGGAAATATAACTTATTTCATATCGGTAACTTATTAAAATATGGAATGATTAAAATGTTATGGAAAGTACAGCTGGTTTAATATAAAGCTACCAAGCAGTTACACTCAGTGCTTAAATATGTCTAACTCTACTACCATCACGCTTTGAGTTCTTCACTTTGCCTACAAAATAACTTTTAATTTAATGACTTTTAATTTAATTTAATGGCTTTTAATGCCTTGCATTACCGTGGTGTCCCTCTTTTCTGTCTTTAAAATTTATTATCCCAAAAGAAAGTGGATTTGTTTGGCATGAAAAATTTTATGATGATTCTTGGTGATCATTGATCCACTAAAGAAGAAAGGACTAAGAAAATAGAATCTTGGTAAAGTTAACAGTACTTTCCTTTTCTTTGTTTTCGAGAAAAGCTTACAAAATAAAGAGAAGGCCTTTTAAACCCATCATTTAACTCTTTCAGCAATATATCTACAAATCTGTTTTTGCAGTGTTCTTGCAAAGGCTGGTGTGGGAACAAGCAGTGTGGATGCAGGAAGCAAAAGTTGGCCTGTGATGTGGACTGTAGCTGTGACTCCACTAAGTGTAGGAACCGTCAGACACAAAGTAAGGTAGGATCACTCTTGTTCCACTTCACTACTTTTCACCCTTTTCTTCTTTCTGTTCTGAAATCTGGAATCTCCTACAGTTTCTTTCCTTTATATGGCTTTCCTCTTCAACTAGAAAGAGATATTTCATTTCTCAGTCATTCCTCAGAGAGAGAGAGAGAGAAATTGAGAGAGATTTCCCAGGAATCTGATCCACCCCTTCCTCCTCTCACCCTTTTCCCAACCTGGGCTTTAAAGTTTGTTTCTGAAGCAGAAACTAGAAAAAGAAACACAGGCATTTACAGGCATAAATTAGGGTTGCAAGTGTAAGACCTATGTGCTGAGGTGGCAGTTTCCAGGAAGGGAGTTAATCCTTCTGACATCTTGAGACATGAATTACTTAGACCTTCTCCATGTAAACCAGATATTCCATGGTTCTGGGAAAAGACCCACGGGAACTGGGTCTCTGGTCTAATAGTCTCTGTTTTGAGCTAAGCAAACTGTAGCTATGCTCCTTTGTATGGATCCCAGGAAAACAGCATGTTCCTAGGAGGAAGGGCAGCCAGAATCAAGCAGGCCAGATTCTCATGCTTGCTTAATCCTACCTGGGCCTGAGGTATTCTTTTATAAGGAATCTCAGTCCCACTCCTTTCTACATAATAAACAAGTAATTCTGGCAAGCTTAGCGTAATAATCACTTATTTCTTGTCTATGTGTGAATGATTTAAAGAAACTTCTCAGGCAGATAGCTGGGCATTCGAGGACTGAGGTGGCAAGCTAGAGATTTGGCTAAATAAGAACGTTGAAAGTAGCAGGGACCTTGAGGAATCTCTCTTCTCAGGGTTTTTGAAGCTTTGTAAAGTGCCCTGGCAGAGGAGTTAAACCTGCCTCTCTTTGATCCCAACACAACCAAAGCAACTTGTTCTTTTCTTGAATGGTCGTTTAAATATTTTGGTTTTGGGGTCATACCTGGCAGTGCTCAGGCGTTATCCTTGACTCTTCTCAAGGATCACTCTTGGCAGTTCTTGGGGGACCATATATGGTGCTGAAAATAGAACCAGGTTGGCGTCATGCATGGCAAGTGCCTTATATGTTGTATTTTCTCTCTCTCTATCTTTTCTTGTTTTCAAATCAGGCTTCCTCTTATCATTTCACTTGCAAAAACCACAAATCTTTTCCTATGCTTCAGAAAAAGAAACTAAAGTCTACAGTGATGCTGTGGTAGCTATGACTATCCCTCGGGGATCCTGCCTCTTGATCCATTTTGAATACCATAGTAACACCTCTCCCCTGGCCTCAGTTTCCTTCTCAAATAGAGAGTCTAATATATACAGCACCCACAAGACTGCTAAAAGACTAATTGCAGACTTTGGGATAATCAAAGAAATGACCTAGGTTTGTCATTGTTTCCAACTTTGCCTCATGATGTGTGTCCTCTGCTGCTGAGGCTTCACTCTTGCCCCCTGAGGCTGTGCCAAGGACTGAAACTTCCCCAGGTCATTTCTCCGTAAGATCACTACAGTGAGAGGGCGACACTCCACCCTGCTTGAAGGAGAGCAGAATGATTTTGGAAACTTGGTTGTTATATTTCTAATATACCTGTTTGCTTGATTCTCAGGATAGCTCAGGCACTGTTGAACGAACCCAGGATTCCGAAGGCTCCTTCAAACTTGAGGATCCCACAGAGGTGACCCCAGGATTAAGCTTCTTCAATCCCGTCTCTGCCACTCCCAATCGCAAAGTAGGTGGGCTGTACTGAAAGAAGGCATTTCCAACTGCATTAGCCTTTCTCTCTGCATTATCCATGACAGAGAGCAGCGAGAGAATGGGAGAAGGCAATAAAGGGAGCATAAGCCAGAGCAGTCTTGGTGGACACCTTGAACCATTGGGAATGTGCTAAGCATTTGTATTGCAAGGGCTGAGTGTCTGCCCCTACCCAGGATGTAATAATAGGGCCTGAGGAGATAATAAAGATAATAATAGCAGGTAGGGTGCCTGCCTTGCATTTGGCTGACTTGGGTTCCATCCCCAGCATTCCATATGATCCTCCAGGCACTGCCAGGAGTAAGCCCTGATCACTGGTTTGGGCCCCAAAAGCAAATAAATAAATAAATAAATATGAAATAATATGTCTGCCTCTGTCCTTTCTAGATCTTGAAGGAGATGTGTGATGTGGATCAGGATTTGTTAACAAACACAGCTCCAGCTGCCTCTTCCCTTGACCTCCCAGGATCGAAAAATGCAGCAGCAGAAGCCCAAGAAAATAAAGCTCCAGGGAAGAAAAAGAAACGTGCTCTGGCCAGCAATACCAGCTTCTTCTCTGGCTATTCCCCTATTGACGAAGAGAACCACTGAAGCGAGACTTGTCATCTTTGCCCAAGAGTGACTTGGGAGAGGCTTTCAGATTGCAGCCAGAAGGGGCTTTTAATTATTCCTGCGAATGTCAGGTTTCTCGCTGTTGGAAAAAAGATACTGAATATCACTGAAAGATAGGGAACCTGCATGGTATTTGACACTCAGCCTGCAGCCCTAGACTACTGTTCTTTTCACCAGAGAGGTGCTAAGCGGGCCTACTGAAGAGGCCAACTCCTGACTAGCAGGAATCAGTCCATAGTTGAATCTAGCACTTTCTTACTTGTAAGCAGTTAAGGCTATCCCCAAATAAGGATGATCCTGAGGCTTTCTTATCTGTGGGTGGTCTCAGCTTCATGGCACCATCTCTCTAGGGTGTAGTGCCCATCTTTCACCCCACCTTAGCAGTGATGGATTGGGGGGTCTTTCCTTGTCCTGACTCTCTAGATAAGTGCTTTAACTATCCTTCTGGTTGTCTTTGCTATTTCTTGCCGAAGCAAATGAAATCTTTTAAAATGTTAATGTTAAATGAATAAATCGTAGTGCATCTACTGTCTGGAAATATCTTTCTGTACTTAAAAGGAAATAAAATGTCAACCTGTGTCCCTCAGCCTCAGGGTATGCTATTAAGGAGTACTGTAAGTTTCTGTACCTTCCTGTAGTGAGCCTTGTTATTCTCAGGGGAATGTGGAACATTGTATGTAATTTCACACCACTCTCCTGCCTTAGGAAATTAGGACAATGTCAGCAAGTCCAGTGGATTGTAGTACCAATGAGTACTCCAGATTTTGGAGGAAGTGACCATATTACTCAGCATCTCTATGTGCCTGCCACAGTTTAATTTGCTCCCCACAAAAGGTTCAACCTTGGGCCTGTGTTCAATCCCAGGTATCCCATGTGGTCTCTAGAGTCCCACCAGGAGTGATTCCTGAGTGCAGAGTCAGAAGTAACTCCTGAGCACCACCAGATGTGGCTTAAAAACCAAGAACAAACAGATCAACCTAGATAGATACATTTCTTTATTTTGCTGATGACACAAATATATAAAGCAGCTAAAATACCTAATCTTAAGTCACAAAGTTAGTAATAGAGCTACAACTTTATCCATATAATAGTCTAACACCAGAGCTACTGTGTGACCGGCAAAACTGGGTTTTGTCACTACTAACAGAAAGCCACCAAAACAACAATGAGTTTTCCATGGAAGAAAATCTTTTGAAACTTTTCTAAAAAGAGAATGGCAGAGTATTTTGGTTATTGTTTTGGTTTTGTTTGGTTCAGGGGTAGTATTGTGGGTGAACCACACCTGGCTATACTCAGGACATAGTCCTGGCTCTGTGCTCAAGGGTCACTCCTGACATTGCACGGGGGACCATTTGCAGTGTCAGGGATCAAACCAGGGTCAGTCAGATGCAAGGCAAGTAACAACCCCTGTACTCCTCTGGTACTGAGAATGACAGTTGGTAACTACAAGAACCATTCTGCAGGAGTGCAGAGGAGGAGTTTTCAAGGAATTTGAAGGATTTTGAGGACATGAAAAGGCTGTGGAGTACAGGGGGCGTCATAGTTTTCTCATAAAATTTCATGTCATACTTGCTCAGTGGTTTACATTCCAGTTTATTTGTGAGAGACCAGTTTCCTAACATTCAGGGATTCAGGAACCAAATGTCTGATGGATAGACATACACCAGATAGCCAGGTGTCATTTGATTACAGGGGCTGTCAATGGGACTGTATTGCACACAGGTTCATTTCTCTCAGTTCAGACAAGGGACAACAAAATGACATTGGTAATGCCAAAGCCTTTTGGTCACGAGTTTCCAAGATTCTCTTAACAGTTGCTTGCCATATCACGGATGTGGTACCTCAATGCAGTATAGGCTGCCTGCTTTCTCCTTTGAAAACAGGGGAGTCTGTGGTTTCCTCCTTACTATGCATCAGGGTTCTCCATCTCCTTAAAGCTAAAAGCAGGGCAGCCCTGGAATACCATCTGCAGGCTGCCAGCTGATCTTGCATACTTCTAAATGTATAAACCCTGGGCTTTTTGTTTGTATTCTAAATCTCAATCCACCACCCCTCTCAGGCGACCCCCCAGAACTCAGCTCCAAACAGCCAAACTCTTCAAGACTCCACCAGATTCCCAAGCAAAGAAAACAAGTATAACCTGCTAGAATGAAGCCTCCTGGAGGACTAGGTGGCCCAGTAGTTCTTTGTGGCTTCCTGCCAGCAAGCAGCCGTGCTTCTCTTTGCATTTTAATGTGGATTGAGCAAGGGAACTCTGCCATTGCCAGCTAGAGCTTCTGGATACAATAGGAAAGCCAGGGGGTGGGGGGCAGCTCTTGGCCTAAGAGACAGTCTTCCTTCACACTATTTAAAAGCCAGTGCTGCACAGTTCCAAGCCCTGGGGGAGGGGAGGATTGGGCTTATCACTAGAGAAAACAGCCTTTCCCAGCACTGCTTTATACTGCTGCTTTAGTCAGAAGTACAGAGAGGAGGCCAGCCAAGTCAGCCCTCAGCCCCCAGCGCCTCCAAGAGCCCTCTGATTTAATGTTAAACTAACTAAAACATGCCAGCTAGCCCTCTCTTGCTCACCTATCTGTTCATCTTCCCAAAAGCCTCTTACATTGACCCTAACATAGTAGACATACCTCAAGTGATTCTTGGAAAGAGTCTTCCACTGCCTTGGGCAGAAGAAATGACACAAGTGTTCACACATAAGGAATGAGCAATTCCTGCTGGACTGTTGGGGGAGGGGGGTGCTCATGACACAAGGGCCTTTGGGAGTCCCTGGTCCAGAAACAGGATTACATGCTGCCCTGGAGGTTGTTTGCAACTCCCTCTTCAAGGTGGAGACCTTGCAAAAGTTAAAATGGAATCCTAAGAGGAAAAAGCTGATGAATCAAGGCACTTCTCCCAGAGAGTTTGAGATCAAATGCTAGACTTACACACACACACCACACCACACACCACACACACGCGCGCGCGCAGCGCGCACGCGCCTTGTGTGGTGGGGACTGGGCCTCTTCTCACAGCCAAGTTACAAAGTTGTGTGGTTGCCTCCCCCAGCTTCCCGCCCATCTGCCCTCCTCATGCCCTTAGCCCTCGCCTCCCTGAGCCAGGACAATACCCCGCAGTGGCTGAGAGGGGGAACAGGAGGAGGGACAGAGAGATGGGAAAGGCTGCACAAAGGAATTCTTTGCTCCAAGCCCCCCTGACTGGCCAGCCGTGAGTAAAGCAGCAGATCTGCTCCCCACCCCCTCTCTCCCTTCCCATCTTCCCACTGGGCTGGGCACAGGCCATAGAGCAGCTGCAGGTCTTCTCAGAGGACCTGCGCAGCTTCCTGTAGATGGCAACAGTGCCACCTGTTTGACCGGTGGGGCTGAGCCAAGGACTGAAAGAGGGAGGAGGCAAACAACTCGCAGAGGAGCTGGACAGCAGTGCGGTGCAGCGCAGAGAGCAGAGTGGAGCTCCCAGCCGCTGAAAAAAAGGTGTGAGGGTTGGGGACGGCTGGGGGTGCTGCAGGGGTGGTGGGGGTGAGCGGGAATGGACTCCAATCAGCAGAGCCTGGGCCCAGGGCCTGAGCAGTACCTAGACTCAGCTCTGCTGAGTGGGATTTTCAGATTACTCAGCTTTTGATCCCATTTTACAGATAGCTTCTGGAGGGAGGTGGAATTCTGAATGGTATGGTCTGTGCTCCAGGGACCGGACCAAGTGAGGGGAGGTGGGCAGTGTGGTTGGGGCCCAGGGCAGGCCGCTGCAGCACATTCTGGAGATGGGAACAATCAGGGGCCTCTATCTGTTTGGGGTGCCTTGTTCCCTGAGAAAGGGCTCAGGAAGGGAAGAGGGCTTCTTCCCCTAGCTCCAGCTTCCTCCCTCTCCACTATCTACCCACAAATCCCTTTTACCAAGGCAAGGATGGGCTAAGGACAGCAATTTCAGGAGTAGCCACACCCTCATTTCAGGGTTTTTGTAACTGCAAGACCCTAAGACTCCACGGTCTCAGGGAGCCCCATGCAAAGATCCTGCCCCTGAGACAACACACACTCTAGGCATATCCCCCAGGGCGGGGGAAGGCTACAGACTCAAATGTCATCTAGAAATCTATATGTGCAGCTAGCCACCATGACCTCGTGTACGTGCTGATACCGATGGCACACCCTAGCACATAGAATTACAGTCACACACCCCACCCAGACTGGCCATCAGTCAGCAGACTCAGCCTGATCCAAAGCACACGGTAAAGGGATCCCCTATTCCAAGACAACCACACCCCCTCCAAACACCTTTGCCCTGCATTTGTTGTACTTTCACCAAAGCTAACTCAGAGGGTGGGGCCCCTGAAACGAAGTGGGGTAAGGCCAGGAATGAGTTTCTGGCTGGGGGTTGGGGAGAGGTGTCTGGACAGGATGACTGGGCAAGAAGCAACAGGACTGGAGAGAGGCTTTGCTTGGTTTCCCCATGTGTGTGCTGGGGAAAAAAAAGCTTTCTTTAGAAAATTGGTTGTAACCCAGGCAACCTGCTCCCCTCAACCGCCCTCCCCCCAAGGTGGAGACTGAGAATCTTCCAGTCTAGGCTTTGTGATGTCTTGCAATCTCTGTAACCATAGCAACAAGCCAGTTTACTGGGCCTCTCTTAGCCCCAGGTCAGAACTGGAAGCTCTGCTTCTGGTTCCTTCAGTTTTCTGAGTCCCAGAGCTCAGTATAAGGCCGCCTCTCTCTTGGGCAGATCTGCCTTGACTTGCTGAACTGTTTGCCCCACCTTGGACAATTTCTCCAAGTTCATACCCCAAGCAAGACCTTCAACCTTCTGCTCAGAGCAGATGCAGTTAAATGGGAGCAGAGTTGGGGAAATAGAGAAGCCCACTGCTGCCTCACTGACTTGCTAGATACCCTCCAGGCTTCTCCTCCCTCTCTGCCAACCTCATTGAATATAGTACTTGGGGTCCACCCAGGGAGCAACATTGATGAGCGAGGCTCAGGCCTCTGCTCCTCCCCGGGGTTCCTCAGGGGCATGGGGGAAGGAGACTGGGATCTGCCCTCTCTCAGGGGCCCTGATGGCCGAGTGTCGCTTCCCCCAGGCCCTCACCATGGCCGAGTCCCCTGGCTCCTGTTCCGTCTGGGCCCGCTGCCTCCACTGCCTGTATAGCTGCCACTGGAGGAAATGCCCCAAAGAGAGGATGCAAACCAGCAAGGTGGAGTAGGGATGGGGGGAGCTGGAAGACCAAGGCAGACCCTGGTTGGAGGGGATGAGAATGCAAGGGTGCTCAGAGGCAGCCGGGGGAAGGGGCTTTCTCTCCTCAGGAGGAAAAATCTCCCTCCAATATGGAAGAGCTGCCTGCAGGGCAGTGCAGCCCCACGCCTAGCAGTGAGCCCTCCAGGAGCTGCCATCCGTTGGGGTCATAACTGGAAGTAGGGACCAGCTGTGAGCTTCTCTCCTGCCCCTTTGCAGTGCGACTGTTTCTGGTTTGGCCTGCTCTTCCTCACCTTCCTCCTCTCCCTGGGCTGGCTGTACATCGGTCTCATCCTTCTCAATGACCTGCACAACTTCAATGAGTGTGTCATTCACCCCTCCCTTCCTTGCCATATATGTCAACCTGCCCACCCTGGGGCCCCTGGGTTCTCAGGAATCCCCAGCCCTGCCCAGATCTACCACTACCCAGTCGCCTCAGGAAATTCCTCTTTGAAGTCTTCCCAATACTTGGAGCCCCAGGCCCAAGGAAAGGTTTCCCCGTCACTTCCTTTCCATCTTCCTCCTAGATCCACTGCCCACCAATACCCCTTAGGCCACTGGTAATAGGCTTTCCCCACCTCAGACACTTCCTTCTATGCTTCCACAGATTCCTATTCCACCGATGGGGACACTGGATGGACTGGTCCCTGGCATTCCTACTGGCCATCTCTCTGCTGGTCACATACGCATCCTTACTATTGGTGGGTTATGGTGGTCTAACATCCACTACAGCCCTTCCTTCCTGCTCAGTTCTACCCAGCCACAGAAGGGAGGGGAGTTTACTTAAGGGTGTATCCTCCTGGGATACCTCAGTGGCCCATCTTGGTGCTTTATTACTCCCACCACTCTGCTCCCAGCTCTTGGCCTTGCTCCTGCGACTCTGCGGCCAGCCTCTGCATCTGCACAGTGTCCACAAGGTACAATGGGGATGGGAGGGAAGGAGAACAGGGTCACTGGCCTCTGCACTTGCTTAGTTGTTCACAGAGAACCTCACTATTCTTCCCCTGGCCATGAGCTCAGAGTCTAAACCTTTATTTTTTGGACTGGTTTGGTTTGGGAATACACCCAGCCTGTGCTCAGGGCCTACCCCTAACACTGTGCTCAGGGATAACTCCTAGTGGGGCAGGGGGAACTGTAATGCAATATCTGGGATAGATCCCAGGTTGGGCATGTACAAGGCAAGCATCCTACCCACTGTACTAACTCTCGGGCCACCATATTTATTGAATGGAAGAATAAAATGGTGTGTGTCTGTGGAAGAGAATGACTCTGTCTGCCTAGAGTGAGGGGATTAGCTACTCTACTCTAGTAGCCATGAGCTAAGTTTGCAACAGAAGGCACTCCCAATTCATCTCTGGCTCTCAGGTGTTGCTGCTGTTCATTTTGCTTCTTGTGGCCATTGGACTTGTGGGACTCGACGTCCAATGGCGACAGGAATGGTATAGTTTACGTCTGTCACTGCAGGTAAGTGACCAAATTCATATCTAGGTGGGAGCTTTTCCCTGAAATCAATCTCAGGACATCGTTTTTTCCCTTAGTGTCCCCAGACTGCAAGTAGCTCTGAGCTCTGAAAACCGGGTTTGAGGTAGAAGGTGGGGTTCACTAGGAAGCAGACCTCTCCCCAATCTGTTCTTGTGCACAGGCCACAGCCCCATTTCTTCATATTGGAGCAGTTTCAGGAATCACCTTACTGGCCTGGCCTGTGGCTGATACCTACTACCGTATCCAACGAAGAGGTGCCAACTTCATCCCTCCACACACGCACACCCCAGTGGCTATCCCTGCTTCTGCTTCCTGCTGCCTGGTCTTCTGGCCCCACACACGCTGCTTTGTGCCCCTAGAGCTTATGTGAAGCCCTCTCTCCATAGTCTATCCCCCCAATCCTCACAGGTCCCAAGTGTCTGCTACTGCTCCTATTTTTTGGAATTTCCCTGGCCATCTACCTGGCCCCCTTATGCATCACCTCACCCTGTATCATGGAACCCAGAAACTTACCCCCCAAACCTGGGCTGGTGGGTCACCGAGGGGCCCCCATGGTGAGTGTGGACAGAATGATGGCAGGGTGGGGCTGTGGGGACCAGGCCTGTGGGTTCTCAAGTACCCTGCCCTTCCCTGCTACTTCGTCACCGATTCTCTTTCCCAGCTGGCCCCCGAGAACACCTTGATGTCTCTGCGGAAAACTGCAGAATGTGGAGCTTCTGTGTTTGAGACTGATGTGATGGTCAGGTGAGGGAGGCTGAGATGAATGAAGGATATAGTCGGGAGCTCTGGCAGCGATGACCAATCTCAGAACTTGGTCCACTGTTTTTGTTTTGTTTGGGTTTGGGGGCCAGACCCAACTGTGCTCAGGAGTTATTCCTGGCTCTGTGCTCAGAGATCACTCCTGGGGGGACGGGTTCTAGGACTATATAGAGTGCTGGGGATTGAACTCAGGTCGGTCGTGTGCAAAGCAAACACCCTACCTGCTAACTATTGCTCAAACCACAGAGCTTGGCTCTTTGACATTTCTTGTGCCCTCAGCTCCGATGGAGTTCCTTTCCTCATGCATGATGAGCACCTGCGCAGGACCACAGATGTGGCCTCTGTTTTCCCAACCCGAACCACCACCCACAGCAGTGACTTCTCCTATGCTGAACTGAAGAGACTCAATGCTGGGGCCTGGTTCCTAGAGGTGAGGCCAACCTCCGGGAAGAGGTAGCCATGGTGCTCAGGGCAAAGTTCATTGATATTATCTATTTTCTGAACCTGTGCTGGATAATAAGCTACAGCTCTGCCCTCAAATCACTCTTTCTACCTAGCAAAAGAGTGAGCCAAGGCTATCAGCATACCAGAGTGCTAACACTATCTTTCCTCTGTCGAGGAAGAGAAAAGTCACTCTTTGGCAGTGTGGGTGTGGGATGAGAATGTGGAGGTGTGAGATGCTTAAGCAGCATATGAAGTGAGAGTGGTTTTGAAATGAGCCCAGCAGAGACAGGAATCCTAGACAGAGGGAAGAGCATATTTAAAGCCCAGAAGTATGAAAAAGTATTTCCGGAGAACAAAAAGTAGCTCCATGGAACCAGGGAGACCAAATTCATGGAAGTAGTGGGATGGGGCGTTAAATTGGCCCAGAGGCCAGCAGTGCTGGTCCATAGTTTGAAGTTTGACACAGTGAGAATGGGGATAGGTAAGACAGAGAAGAAACCACTATGACAATGATAGGTCTCAGGGGACCATCTGGAGTGCCAGGGATCAAACCAGATTCGGCCACATGCAAGGCCAGTGCCTTACCTGCCGTACTATCTTCCCATCCTCCCTTCTCAATTTAATGGAATTGATTGCTCTGGACAAGAACTGAGTGCTGAAAGTGTAAAGTCATTTACATGATAACCTTTCAGTACCTGTATTGCAAACCATAATGTCCAAAAGGAAAGAAAGACAGAGAGAGAGAGAGAGAGAGAGAGAGAGAAGAAAAGTGCTTCCCATAGAGGCAATTTGGGCCAAGTATAAGGAGGGAAACTGGGGACATTGATGGTGGGAGTTGTGCACTGGTGAAAGGACTGGTGTTGGAATATTGTATGACTAAAACTCAATCATGAATAACTTTGTAACTGTGTGTTTCATGGTGATTCAATTTTAAAAATGGCCCAGAGGGGACCTTAGAGATAGTATAGTGGGTAAGGCCTTGCATGTGGATGACCTGGGTTCACTTCCTAGCACTGCAAATGGTCCCTAAGAGCAGAGCCCTCAGAAAGCCCTTAGCATCACCAAGTGTAGCCCCAAAATCAAAAAGATTAAAAAGTTGTTTTGGTTTTAGGGCCATACCCAGGGCTTACTTTTGGCTCTGCACTTAGGAACCACCCCTTGTAGGTCTCAGGGGACCATCTGGAGTGCCAGGGATCAAACCAGATTCGGCCACATGCAAGGCCAGTGCCTTACCTGCCGTACTATCTTCCCATCCTCCCTTCTCAATTTAATGGAAAAAACTGGCCAGGAAGGCAAATGTCTAGTCTCTGAGAACCACAAGTTCAGACTTCACCCATATTGGTGATAGAAAATGTGGAAAGGATATTTTACTTTCTCAGCTTCATTTCTTTTTCTAATTGCAAAAGTAATACACGGGACTTGAGGGGTAACTCAAAGGGGTGAAATTCATTCTCTGCATGCAAGAGCCCCAGATTCTATTCTCAACAGTGCATGCTTCCCTAAGCAACACTGTCAGTACTGAACCCTGAGCACTGCACTGCTTCAAAAATTGATGCATGTTCCTTCCTTTGAAATTTTTCCTTAAATAAAATAAAATTAGGTTTAACCTAAAAACAACCGAGTCTCAATAATCCGACACCTTGAGATAATCACTGTTGATATTTGGGCATGTAGTCCACGTATATACAGAACTACTTATATTGACATACATGTGTTCACACACATATAACATTCATATTGCATAAACAGAATCACATACATTATTTTGCATCTTGATTCTTCACTAAGTGATGATATATGAGAATGATTAAGAGCAAGGAATATCTGAATATGAATCTTTGGCGAGGTGGAGTGGGGGAAGTTGAGACATACCCATTAGTAATTGGAGCCTACTCCAGTCTCCATGCTATAAAGTCACTCCTGGCAATGCTCAGTAGACCATGCGGTGCAGGGAATCTAACTGGGATTGACTCCATGCAAGACCAGTGCCTTAACTGCTAAACTATCTCCTCCAGTCCACTAAATCTTACTTGGGGAGATAAAACCTAGATCTCATGCAAGCAAAGTATGTGCTCTAGTGTGGAGCCACATTCCTAGCACTAGAATTGAATCTTTTTTTGTTTTCATTTTGGATCATAACTGGTAATGCTCAGGAATTACTTCTGACTCTGCACTCAGGGATCACTCCTAATAGGGTTCAGGATACCTTATGTGGGGCTGTAGATTGAACCCAGGTCAGCTGCATGCAAGGCCTTCCCACTGTACTATCTATCCAGGCCCTGGATTTTAATCTTGACTCAGTCCCCTGATTAGCTGTTTGAGCCTGGACAACATTCCTTATTCTCTCATCTGAAAAGTAAGCAAAAGAATAGTACCTACCTTGTAGGATTATTGGAGGGAATACATAAATCAAAACACAAAAAGTACTATTAAAATTGCCTGGAGTACAATAAATACTTGAAAAGTGGTAGGGGATGTAGGTGCAGCCAAACAGGGGGCGATGAGTTGGAATGAATGCCAGAAGTGTCTATGAGACAAAGGAAGAACTTTCCTGGAAGAGAAGAAGATAGGAAGTTAGGAGGGTAGTGGCACAAAGTAAGGTGATCAAGGGTCTGCAAAAAGGCCACAGTTTGGAGAAAGACCCTAGCTCGGAGGAGGGTGGAAGTGGGACACTGAGTAGGCAAATGAGTGAATATGTGTGCATGGGTGGGGGGCTTGTTATGGTCTTGAAATTATCTTGCTATTCTTACAGAGAAACCCCTTCTGGGAAGCCAAGCAGTTGTCAGTCTCTGACCAGATAGAGGCTGGGAATCAGACAATACCAACACTGGAAGAGCTACTGAAAGAAGCTGCAGCCCTCAACCTTTCCATCATGTTTGATTTGCGCCGTCCCCCACGAAACCACACATACTACGACACTTTTGTGAATCAGACACTGGAAACTGTGCTGAGGGCAAGGGTGCCCCAAGCCATGGTGATATTGCCAGGACCCCAAGTTTCCCTTCTTGCATGCCTCCCCTCCTCTGGGCTATAGTATTTGCTCCTACCCCAGGACCCCACCCCAGCTCACAGACCACAAATCTTTCTATCCTGTACTTGGTCTCCAAAGAGTTTACCCAACATCATGCCCATCCTCCCTGAACTACAGGTCCTTTGGCTACCAGATGAAGACCGAGCTAATGTCCAACAACGGGCACCCAGAATGCGCCAGATATATGGACAGCATGAAGGCAACAGAACTGAGGGAACCCTGTTTCTGAACCTCCCCTATCAAGAACTGCCAGATTTGGATATCAAGTAAGTGCCAGGACAAAGGAGCTAAGGGGATCATGTAAGGCGTAGTGATGGGGAATCATCAGTGTGGTGAGATAATGCATTCATTCACTCATGCAGCAAACACTGATCAAATGTGCTGTGTTAAACATGATTTATTGAAGGCATTGATGTGTGAGTGAAAGAAGTCATCAATAAATCACTGAATGAAATATATGCAAATAGGACAATACTAAGTGATATGAAGTTAATAGAGCAGGGAGATACAGTAGGAATGGTTGCAGCTGAGAGTGAGGGGCCACATTAGGAAGAGTGTTTGAAAAGGTGGTGTATCTGAGCTGAAGCTTAAAGCGCCACACACAAGATACTAACAATGGGCAGCTGAAGAAAAACAAGAACAGCAGCTAAATGAGCAAGAAAAAGATAATGAGAGGTACACAGAGGACAAACTGGATATGATCTTGTAGGCTATGAAGTGAGTTTTAGCTTTCATTCTACACTCAAGAATACAACAGATGATAGAGCTAGAGGACCAGTGGCCAGTGGGGGGGGGGAATACAAAAGAGGTGAAAGAGATATGAGTTTGGCCCCAGAAACTGAAACACGGACTTCAAAACATGATTGCATATTTTTCTTTCAATGTCCTTGTGAACAGATAGAAAAAAATGTAGACTGAAGTGTGGAGAGAAAGTGCAACAAATAAAGTACTTTCTTTGCACAAGACCAAACACATTTCTATCCCCAATATCACACTTGGTCCCCTGAGCACTACCAGGAGTGATCCCTGAGTGCAGAGACAGGACCAGCTCCTAAGCACTGCTAGATTTGGCCCAACTCCCTACCCCAATCAACTGTTAATTTTTCAAAAGACATAGACTGATAATGAATGCATTAAAAATAAATTGAGGATCTGAAAAGTCTAAGACATTGGGTCAGGTATACAAAAATGAAGTGCAACCAGGAAAGATGTAGATCTCTATATTCAGGACCCTCCATAAAGTTCACTTGTACAAAGGCAAGAGAAGAGACCCTGGCATTGACAAGAATATGTGTGAAAAAGAACAGAGTTCAATCGAACAGTATGAATCATCAGTGGAAAGGGACATTGCTTAAGATTAATTGGACACTCTGATAGTCATGCCTTTGTGTAGGCAGAGTGCCCAGAAGCAGGAGGAGTTTAACTCTACTTAAATCTGGTTCAAGACCAACAGAGATATCATGTTTGGCCTGAGGTCCATACTTTGAAAGGAATATTGATAGAATGTACTTAAGGTCCGATTGGAGAAATACAGCAGTAAAGGGAATAATGGTCCAGATCCTCAATGTAATGATATTAGGAAACAGGGCTTTGGCGCCTGTATAAAAGACAATGCAGTATAACATGGTTCCTGTTCCTGAGACCTCAGAAGTTCTACCTCAAACCAGGAATCTCATTTATGTAGTCCCATAAAGCATATTCTGCTAGGATACAAAGTTCAGCAAAGCAAATAAAATCACTCTTGTTCAGGGGTTGTGAAGCAAAGGTAGAACAGATCGGTCTTTGGCAGTAACACTGTAGATTCAAGCCCAGATAAGGGGCAGCCTCCCATGCCTTGTGACCCATGATTCTGTATGTTTCCCCATTTATTTCCCACTTCCACAGGACACTGCACCAAGATAATGTTTCGGTGAACTTATTCGTAGTAAACAAGGCTTGGCTCTTCTCACTACTCTGGTGTGCTGGGGTGGATTCGGTCACCACCAATGACTGCCAGCTTCTGCAGCAGATGCGTTACCCCATCTGGCTAATTGTGAGAACTTTGGGACTATCTCCATCCTTTCCCTCTCCTCCCATCCCTGTCGTTCCTTAACCAGGTCCCTCCCTTATTTTCCTTCATGTACTATCTTTAGAATTCTGGCGAACAAGGACCTTTTCATATTTTCACAGCCCCCTCAAACCTATCTAATGATGTGGATTGTTACCAATTGTGTGTCCACCCTTCTGCTTTTGTGGACCTTCCTCCTCCAAGGGTGAGTGTTTGGGGACCTCGGTTCTTTTAGTCTTTATTCTCCCAATAGTTCTAGTTCACATTGATAGCTGCTGAGCAGTGGGGTGGGATTTGGGGTTTAGTGTACTTCATTCCTTTGAGTTCCTCAGACCTATCCATCAAAGTAAAATTGGCTTGAACCTGGGAAATGCATGTTGCAGGAACCTGTGGTCAAAAGGTTATGTTTGAAGATAGCTGAACTAATCATGTGAACTTTCCCCCCTACAGGAGATGTACTAAGGAGAGAGAGAGAACTGGTAAGAATGTTTTTCCTTCCCCTCATTTTTCTCCTCTTCTATTCTATTCTTTCCCTGACTGAATCCACGTAATGTCCTCCCTCTGTTCTCCAAATCCAGGCTTAGAAACCGCTGTGCTGCTCACCAGGATCAACAATTTCATGATGGAGTGAATATCCTAACCTGGCCCTAGCCAGCCCAAATCTGCAGCCTGTCTGCATTGGCCAACAGCAAGGAAGGGAGAGAGACTGAGATGGAGAGTTTGTTGGGGTTGGCAGTCAGGATACAATGTCAACAGGAGCTTCTGACCTTTGAAAGCCCTCTGGAATCTGCTCTCTTTGAGGTAGTATTACCTGAAGTAGTTAGGAAGACAGTGACTCATAAGAGGGTTCTCAATGAAACTACAACAAAAGAAGTGAAAAGGAGATTGCCAAAATAATGTTTCAGACCTGTATGCCAATATTCTTGTGTAGAAGGCATGGGTGTGTCAGGGATGGGGCAGCTGGACCAGTGTGTGAAGATGAGAAAGAAATGCGACAAGTGTAAAATGATGGAGAGACCAACCCTACTCCATTCTCCATTTGCCTCCCCTGGCCCCTTCAATTTAGCTGCATTTCTAGCTAGAGACTGGAAGTTAAAGATTCCATCTATCCATGTAATTCCGTGCCTTCAGGTGGCTTTTAGCTGTGCTCAGTACTTTTTCCAAGACAAGATGGTTCCTGTATCTTTTCTGTTAATCCGTTAATCTGTCGATTTGTTGTTATTCAATGAATGCAATTCTCATTTGGTCACAGTCTAATATTTTCTGCGGGGGCTGGGCAGAGGAAGCATCATCCATTTAGGGTTGTTTATGACATGCTGTTGAGAGATCATCATGGGGGAGATTCATGGGATGGGGAACGGAAGGAGGATGACCTGGGGGGCAATAAAGAGCTGCTGGAGGGAAGCATGAGAGGCACTGCCCGCAGGGCTGTTCCACGTGGCCAAGGCTCGCCACTCAGTCTTGCGCTGTAGCTCCACCTTGTGGTCACCTGCCCCAAGAGGCGGGCCACCTCGGTCGTCATAGTGACGTACTTGCTGAAAAAAACCCTCCCCTTTCCAACACCGTTTGGGGACCAGTGTCCTTGACTCAGAACGCTGAGGGCATGGTACGATTTTCACATGTTTTCCCGTTGCTGGCCTGTTTCCCGACCCTGCCAGCCTCCCAAGAGGCAACTTCCCCAGTGTGTTTGCTGCTAGCAAAACCCTGGAATAAACAGCTAAAGGGTCAAGTGCAGTGCTGGTAGCAGGGTAGGAGGGACTGAGGCATTTTTTAAGAAGGTGTTGGGGATAGGAGAGGACTCCGTGGCTGATTCTATGGTTCGTCACTAGCCCAGTTCGTGTCTCCACACGAAGAGAAAACAGAATAAAGGCACTGGTTCAGTTCTCAGATTCTCTCTCACCAGTGTGCATCTCCCCCCTCTTACCGCCCCACCCCCGCCGCCGCTTACCCAGCCTCTTGGTACCCAGCACTGCAAGCCCTGGCTCGGGTGCAGGGCAGTCATAGAACTACATTTCCCAGGATGCTCCTGGCCACTTCTGGCGTTGGGATTGACGGGGTGAGTTTGAATTTAGGTTCCCGCCCTCCGCCCTCCCACTGAATACAGCTCCCTCCCTTCTCTTGTCACCCTTCCCCCGCCACACACAAACTTGCACATACCAACACAGGGCGCGAGCCACGTCAACATACCTAACCTGCAACTGGCACGGCGGGAGGGGGCACAGGCGAGATGAAAGCGAAGACCCGAAGCGCCAGGGAGCAAAAGGGTGGCCACTCCCTAGTCCCGGTCTTCTACTGGCCCCAGCCACCTCATAGGTTTTTTTTTCTTCACAAATCACCTTTTTTCCCCAAGCGGCATTTAGCTTCCTCTGTTCCTAATCTCGCTCCTCAGTCAGGCCTACTCCCAGTTGCAGTTGTGGGGCCCCCAGATCCTCCCCACCATCCCCACTTTTCTGTTCCCTCCTAGTTAACCCGTATCTCAGTCTTTCACGGGCCCTTTCTCCCCACTTGACAACTCCAGGGTCTCCATCTGCTGCAGCATCAACCTCCCACTTCCCAGGATTTCAGTTGCCCTCCTCTCACCTCTGTGTCTGGGCCCCAATCCAGAATGCCAGCACCCTAGTCCTTCACACCCAAACACCCTGGCATTGGAGACTTTGGCCGTCGGATACTGCCACCACAATTCCCTGCCACACAATTCCCAGAGAACTGGCCCCTTAACCTCACTGAGGACCTGAACTAGAGACTAACAAAAATTTGAGGGCGTGTGGGCTAAGAGGAGCTGCTCATTGGGGTTCTGTTATTTTTAGCGGCTGACTCACAACTCCTGGCTTCGGGTTTGGGGCTAGTAGGCTGGGCTAGGGGGCGCTATTAATAGAGCCCAGGCACAGCCCCGACCCAGTTCAGTATGGTCGCGTGCTGAGCAAGGAGCCTCCCCCTGTCATCACACCCTGTAGAGACGTGGACTGGGGCACAGGTTGGATCAGGCGTCTCTGACTGCCAATAGCTTCCCACTGCTTAACACACCTTGGAACTCTTTGAGGGAAAGCCTACAAGGAGACCTCTGGGCACAAATCTCTCCTAAACTTGCCATCAGAAAGCTCCTGTTGTAACAGCTGAGGGAGAAGAGGTGAGGGGGAGGGCTTATTGCTGTTCCTGCTTTGGCTGCCTGGCCCTACTTCTGGTCCACAGTGCTAGGTTAACAGGAGGGTTAACTGGAGGGAAGACTGTGAATTTCTGCTTTGCAAAGTCTCTCATCCAGGACACGGTGCTTCAGCGTGGTCCCAACAGAGGAGTTGCAAATTTGAGAATGTGCAAGCACTAATCCAGACAGCATTAGGAAGCAGATGAAGTGTGCTTACCCCCTTCCATTATTTTCCCTTCTTTCGCTCTTTTTAGATTCTGTCCCTAGTCGTGTTTCAAGAAATCCCAGGATCTCTTTCTGCTCTGTAAAGAAACCTAATTTAGAGGCCAGGGAGAGAACTCAGGGAGATGGAATGCATGCTTTGCATGCAAGAGGCCCAGGTGCAATCCTCAGCATCAATAATGCACCACTGAGCACTGATGGGTGTGCTCTCCCAAATAAAGGAAAAGAAAAGAAACCTAATTCAGCAAAGCCAGAGAAAATTGTTTTCCTGGAGATATGAGTGATCCTTTAAAAGTTGACATTCCTATTGGGCCTTTTACTTTAGTTTTTTTTTAAATTTGTGGTGTTGAGCCACATCTGGTGATGCTCTTGGGATATTACTGGTTCTTCACTCTGGAGTTAACTCTGGCATGGATAGAGGATTCTAGGTGGAGCTGCGGATCAAACTAGAGCTTGCAACATGGGTGCAAGTGCCCTACTTCCTGTACTATCTCTCCAGTCCAGGCATTTTTTAAAAAAATTCATGGAATAAAGTAGGAGTTTCTTTTTTGTTTTGGTTTTGAGTCACATCCGGCGATGCTCAGGCACTACTCCTGGATCTACATTTGGGAATTACTCCTGGCAGTGTTTGGGGGACCATAGGAGAATGCTAGGGATCGAACCCGGGTTAGCCACATGCAAGGCAAGTAAACCCACTGAACTATCTCTCCAGCCCTTAAAGTAGAGATTTCTTAACTAAGACATTGGTAATGGTGGGAAAATATTGTCTCCTTACTGGACTTACCACAAAAATGGTGCCCATCCACACCAAATTTGCTAGAAATTACACTCACCAACGATGTACATCCATTTTAGTTCACCTACCAGAGATTCTGCCTTCAGCAACCTAGGTCTCAGCCCTACAGTGAAACTGGAATGTTTTTGGGGGCAAGGATCATTGTTACTCCTCACAGAGTCAGGAGCAAACAAATGAAGCTCCCTAGTCACTCCCCTTCCCCAAGCCCAGATTACAGATAGCGTTGGGCTGCCCTACCACAATCCGATCTGTTTGCTGAGGACGCTGGTGGATGGGGAGAGAAACAGTTTTTCCTCCTAAATTCCTTCTATTTCTTGCTTGTTTTAGTCTCAACTAAGGTCTCCAGTTGCCAAGCAACCATAACTGCCTGCAGTGGTGTGGTTCTGCTTTCAGCCTGCAGGGGGCGCCTGTCTCCATGGGGGCCTCAGCATATTGGGAGGGGAGTCCAAGGCATCTCAGGGTTGCTGATGTTTGCAGTCTTGTCGCTTTTAGAAAGCCTGTGGAGTGGGAAGAAGCTCATAAGAAATCTATATGATTTTGCTCCAACTCACTGAAAGGTGAAAGAGAAAGGGAGAGGGCAAAGAAGAGGAAACCAGCTCAGGGGGTCATGTAGCGGGGAGGGCAGGAGACACAGAGAGAGGAGGGAGCAGAGAGAGGAGAAACAAAAGGGGGTGGTTTGTACCTTTGTACTGAGGATGTAGAAAAATAATCTAACATTTCCTATAGGCAAAAGTACTGAGTGTATAAAAGATATTAAGCTCCCAGGTTTCCCAACCTAGCATAGTCTTGATCATGAAAGAAGATACTTATTTGTCATTCAACAGGAATAATTAACCTTAAGCCACCAGGTACAAGGTGCTACATTGAATCTTGACAAAACTTTATGAATTATTTCCATTTTACTGATAAACAAACCGAAGATAAGAAAAATAAGGTGCAAGGTCAAACTGACTATTGACAAGACTGGGTTTGGAAGACCAAATGTGTGAGGGTCTAAGAATCACTAAGAATCACTATTCACATAGTGAAAGAGCATACCTTTTCCCCCACATCCACGCCAACACTGGTTGAATGTGTTCCAGTCTCTGTGGTGTGAGATGATATCTCACTATTGTGAAACAACTCTTAAGGGGTTTTTTTGTTGTTGTTGTGGGAAAGGATGGGTCTAGTCCCACATAGAAGCTGATAAATTGGTTTTGTGCACACCTCTATGAAATACCATTTCCCCCAGATATTCTAATGATCCGGGCTCAAGCAATAGTGCAGCGGGTAGGGCGTTTGCCTTGCACGCGGCCTACCTGGCCAGCCCGGCTTCAATTCCTCCACCCCTCTCGGAGAGTCCAGCAAGCTACCGAGAGTATCTCGCCCGCACGGCAAAGCCTGGTAAGCTACCCATGACATATTCGGTATGCCAAGCACAGTAACAATAAGTCTCACAATGGAGACTTTACTGGGCCCATTCGAGCAAATCGATAAACAACGGGAGGACAGTGACAGTGACAGTGGTTGTAATGATCCACTTTCATGTTCTCATTTCTCTAATTGAGAATCTTTGTAGAGGACCTACCTGTTTGTCATTTATCATTCATCTCCATTTGGATGTCAAATGTCCACATATCCAAATATGAACACCTGGTCTCTCACCCCCTAAAGGACCCCTCCAAAAGGCATCCTCATATCAGTCAACGGCATTTTCATCTTTACAGTTCTGACTAGACAGAAAATCTCAGAGTCACACTTCCTATCCAATCCCTCAGCAAGTACTGTTGCTTCTCACTTCAAGAATATCCAAGAATCCAATCACTTCTTTCACCTTTGCAACCCTACCACCCTTCTCCAAACCACCAGCTGCCCTGGGGGAGAGTGCTCAAAGAAGTGGGGCACATGTTGGGCAGGTTCCAGGCCCTAAATTTGATCATTGGCATGGCATGTCCCCCAAGCACTCTTGCATATAGCCCTCGTGGCTTTGCAGCACCACAGAGCTCCAAGCTGAGCACCATCATGTTTGTACCACCCCTTCTGTTTGCTGTCAGAACCTATGGGTCCAGAAGCACCTTCTGGTGAGTCCTCTATTGAAAACAAATCA